ATGTCTAAAAAGGCAAACCCACAGATTTAGAAAGTAGATTAGTGGTTGCCAGGGGCTGGACAGAATGACTGCTAATGGGTAAAGGGTTTCTTTCAGGGGTGATGAAAATGTTTTGGAATTAAGACAGTCATGATTATTCTACAACTCTGTGCATACAATATAAACCACTCAACTGTACACTGTTAAAAAATCAATCTTATAGTATATGAATTATTTCTCAATTAAAAATGGGAAGAAAATTAAGGACCTATTTAATTAAAATGTAATGGGAGAAAGCAGTGAAATAAAAACTCTTTTATCATTAGAATTCATTATATATGTTCTACCCACAAATGATATTTAATGGACTGTTCTGCATTCCATAGGAAGGGCCTAGCTTCCAGGATTCTTTTCATTGTAGTATTTGTCTTGATAAATGTCTCTGCATTATCCTGGGTTCTACACAGACTAAAGATCAGAAAAGTTATCAGCATTGTAATAATGATATAGCAGTTAAGAACACAGGCTCTGATTTTAAAAAGAAGACAGACATACACATGGGGAAAATGTAAGCAGTTACAGAAAACTCTTTTGAAAAAAAAAAAGCACAGGGTCTGAATTCAAAACGTCTGGCTTCAAACTCTGGCTACCCCACTTGCTAGTTATGTAACCCTGGTTATATTATTATTAAACTCTTCTGTGCCTGAGTTTCTTCATCTGTAAAACAGAAGTAAGAATATTAAACATAACTCAGGGTGGGGTGAGGATTAAATTATCTACTATATTCTTGGAACAGTGCCTGGTACATAGACAAACACTCAATAATTATTAGGAACTTTTATCATCATCATCACTGTATGTCTGCAGGGGACCCTAGCATGCATATAAATTCTGCGGTAACTACCAGTCAGTGTGTTAACAGTAGATATGTAGAGTGATTCCAGAAACGTTACTCCTTCACCTCTGGAATCCAATATATCGGGTCCAAAAAAGAAGAATTTACTACTAAAAAAGCATTTATGATTATATCTTACACATAAAAGGCATTCATATAATTTGTTGGATGAATAAACAGAAAAATCGGGAGAAAAAGAAGAAATTCTGGGAAATGACTTTTAGGGAAAACTTTTCTTCCTTTGTATGATGATTTAAGGTGGGGGGGATAGGCACTTAAGATTAAGAAGACAAATCTGTGTTCATGTATGACTGAAGCATTATGCTGTACATCAGGAACTGATAAAACATTGTGAACTATACTTCAATAAGAATATATATGTATTTTAAAAAAGAAGACAAATCTGAAATTCTTTAGAGTATGATGGCTCATTTCACTGTAGTTATCAAAGGAATAACAGAATGTTATTATTCATATGCCAGTAGGAGAAAATCTAGAACAACTTAAAAGCTAGTTTTTAAATAAATTAGTACATAGAAAAAAGAAAATCATGAGGATTTCTGATGGTGATGTAAGTGATTTCTCTCTTCTGCTACAAGGAAGAAATACACGGATAGGTAAAGATTTACCTTCCTAAGGAAACGTCAAAGGGCTTTCTTTTGAAATGCTATGGAATGAAGTTAACATAGCATAACTTCTACCTGCCAGTGCACAAAGTAATCTGAAGCCAAACTGAGAACACTGGAAAAATTTTACTCTTTTGCCTCTTATTTCAGGAAATGTAAGCACAGTCACTAGTCAAGGAGTGTATCTAACCCCATTCTGGTTGGCGAGATGTAGACTTGCAAGGGATTTTGGTGGAAGGTTTTCCTCCTTGAAGGAGCTCAGTACACAAGAGAGTACCTATGCCCCCTGCTTGCTGATTTGAGGTGCATTAGAGTAGGATTCTCAGAACTGCTGTAGTCATGACAGAAAAATTAGAGGGATTGTAGCAATCTACCATAGCATCTGACAACTTCCAACTGTAGAACCAATCTTGGAATAATTTACCTCCATGCCTCTTGTTATGAGAGGAGAAAAATAAAATCCCTATTTGTTTGAACAACTTGTTATTTCTTGTTTGCAACTAAAAACATTTATAATTTTTACAGCTCTCATAGATTTATTCTCTAATATTTCCCATTTCTTCTAATATTTTCTATCTTTGTTCTAGTCAACTTTCTGGAAGATTTCCTTAACTTTATCTAATGTATATGCAAATACAGACATACACATAATACATATTTAAAATTTCTGCTGTACTATTTTAATTTTCAAGACTCCTTTCTTATTCTCTGTTATTTTTTCTTCTTCAGTACAACCATGAAACAAAAACATTTCTGATGTTAATCGTAGTTATTTTCAAGTTTTCTTCTGTTCTCTACACTGTTTCTGAGTTCCTTTTGACCATTTCTGCTGTTTCCTTTCCTGATAAAAACTTTCTTCCAATATCTGGTTATTCCTAACTGTCCATATTTAAGGCTTAAGGACTCTTAAGATATCAATACTACCCAAAATAATCTACAGAGTCAATGCAATCCCTATCAAAACCCCAATGTGTCTGCAGAAATAGAAAAATCCATCCTGAAATTCAAGAGGAAATTAGAGGGATCCCAAATAGCCAGAACAATCTTGAAAAAGAACAATGTTGGAGATGTACATTTCCACAATGAGATAACACTTCACTCATTAGGATGGCTATTATTACACACACACACACGTACACACACAAAATAAATGTTTGCAAGAATATAAAGTATTTTTAGTGGGAATGAAAAATGCATCTGCTTATGGAAAACAGTATGGCAATTCCTTAAAAAATTAAATATAAAATTATCATATGATTCAGTAATTCCACTCAAGGGCATATACCCAAAAGAAGTAAAATCAGTATTATTAACACTAATCAAAAGGTGGAAACAACCAACCATTGATGGTAACCATCAACAGATACATGGTTAAATAAAATGTGGTATATACATACAATGGACTATTATTCAGCCTTAAATAGGAAGGAAATTTTGACACATGCTACAACATGGATGAATCTTGAAGACATTATTAAGTGAAATTAGCCAGTCACAGAAGGACAGTGTATAATTCTACTTACATGAGGTTCCTAGAGTAGTAAAATTCATAGAGACAAAAAAGGAGAATGGTGGGTCTCAGTGGGTAATCAGCAGACTTGGTATTCTGCTGAAGGGCCTTCAAATACCATTACGCACAAGTCTTTTCCCTGGGCCTGGTCAACTTTCCTCAGGGAAGAATACTGTCATCTCCAGCCATACTCCTCTTCATGGTATATCAACCAATGTTAAGCTCAATGTTTTAACTCATTTATATGTTTATTTTCTGTAACACACTGCCCTGATTAACATACAAGCTGCTTGAAGGCAGAGATTTTTGTTTTGGGGTTTTTGTTTGGTTGATTGGTTTTTGTTATATCCCCAGAACCTAGAAAAGTACAAATGTTAGCAGGCACTCAATAAATATCAAAGATTTATGGAGCACTTAATATGTGTCAGGAACTATGCTATTTCATAATTATAGATCAACTGATCTTTAAATTACCACATGTTGGATATTAGTCCCACTTCACCAATGAGGCGAGGTATAGGGAGGTTAGGCAACCTGTCTGTGGAAACTAAGGCACAGCTAGAATTCAAATATATGGTCTGTGTGACTTCATGGTTCATCTTAACCACTACATTATACTGCCTTCTACAGAGAAATTGTGTAGTGTTAGTCCTCAAGAATAAGAATCTACACGCTAATGAGATGTAATTTAAACAGTAAAAAGCCTAAAGAGTGTGTGCTGAGGGGGTAGTGAATCCCTGCTACAGTGAGACAAAGTTACTGACGCAAATGTATTACATTTGAGGGTGCAGAAAGTTTCTCAAGACACAAAAATGGCTGGCAAAAAACTGCTAGTTAAATTGACAAATTCTGATTAACAAACTATTTTTACCACCAGGATTATTTGCCTCCTAAAGACTCTTTTGCTTGTCCTCACATACAGAAGTAAGACAGACAGCATAGGATATCAGAAAGTACACTAACTATTCAGAAGTATGATTTCTAGTCCTAGCACTGATACTAACTGGCAATGTGCTCTGTGATAAAACATTCATGAAGAAGAAAATAGTTTATTAGCGGTTATTTCTCAACTTTCAAGTTTATTTTAGAAATGCAAACATACTTTCTCTTGAAACACTGAAGATTTAACTTGCCCTTTAAAAAATAATTAGACTACTAAATTAGAATTTTCATTTAGGAGTCTGTCAATCCATGCCCCCAAATCTCTGGCATTTGAAGGTAAATGGTAACCTGATCATTTGTAATTTAGGGTTATTTCCCTGCATGAGTAGTGATTACGGTTGGAGCCAGCTTTTACAGAGACAGGCAGTATTGTGAAGTGGCAGGCAGTGTGGGCTGTAGAGTCTGACTGCCTAGATTCCATAACAGCTTCTTCACTGTGGAACCTGAGTGACTTATATAAGGAAACTAACACCAAAAAAACTTACCTGTGATTATAATAGTAACTACTGCCTCACAGGATTGAGATCAATGACTAATCTATAGCTGTACAATGATGCTCAAGGCTTGATGCAAAAACCTCAAAGCACTATTAAAGAGTAAAGCTAAGCAATTTTGTGCTATTTAAATATTATACATTTTACCCATAATGAAGCAAAAACCTACTTTAGTGGGATCTGTTCTGGAAAAAAGATATTCCATAAAATTCTATTTTCTAATATGGTAACTAGTTTGCTGACCTCTACAACAGAACACTTCTCTGTCTCTCTTTTCAGTAAGTTATTTTTTTTTGACCAGAGTAATATTTTTAAGTTTACATAGAACTTCTCCTTTAGTTCTGACATTTTCCAAATTATAAAATACTACGTATTTATTATAACAAGTGAAATAAGATTAAAAAGTATAATAAAGACAAAAGTAATCCTCTCTTCCCATACCTATTTCTAATCCCACTCCCTAAAATAACCAATATTATCAGTACAAATGCTTTTTATTAAGTTCACTTTCTTCTTTTCAAAATTAACTACAGATATGATACTCAATTGCTTACCTCCAGATATATTGATGGTGGATTATGCTCCCCACCAAATTTGTCCAATAGGGCCTCTATATGTTCCTGTGTCAACTTAATCATTTGTTTGATATTCCACACCTAAAAAATATTTTAAAAGAATTTAAATAAAAATCATTTGGAATATGAATTAGAAATATTTTAATATTCCTAATAAAATTTTGCAGTAACTGCCAGTGTCCCTTGAAATTTAGAGCTTAGAGACTGTAGAGATCATTTAGTATAGTGGTTTTTCCCTTTTATTATTAAATTTCTTTAAATTTTTTCCTACACAAGTAATACAATATACTGTCAAATATAAGATACAAATAATATATGAGTATTCAGAGCAAGCAATCAAAATCTCTTCTTACCCTCCTCACATTCCTCGGCCCCCTGCCAAAAAGGTAAGTGCTGCAGCAAAGGAAACCATAAAGACAATGAAAAGACAACCCATGGAATGGGAGAAAATATCTGCAAACGATGCAACTGACATGGGATTAATTTCTAAAATATACAAGTGGCTCAGCTCACACAGCTCAATATCAAAAAAAAACAACCTAATTAAAAAATGGGCAGAAGATCTAAATAGTTCTCCAAAGAAGACATACAGATGGCCAAAAGGCGCATGAAAAGATGCTCAACATAACAGATTATTTGAGAAATGCAAATCAAAACTACAATGAGGTATCACCCAACACTGGTCAGAATGGCCATCAACAAAAGTCTGCAAATAATAAATGCTGGAGAGGGTGTGGAGAAAAAGGAACCCTTCTACACAGTTGGTGGGAATGTAAACTGGTGCAGCCACTATGGAGGACAGTATGGAAGTTCCTTAAAAAACTAAAAATATATTTACCATATGATCCAGCAATCCCACTCTTCAGCATATATTCAGAAAAATTAAAAACTAATTAGAAAAGATACATGCACCCCAATATTCATAGCAGCATTATTTACAATAGGCAGAATCTAGAAGTACCAGAATCTCAGATCCCATCTCAGACCTACTGAACTTTAACAAAATGATTCATATTAAAGCAAATTGCTATTGGAGAAATTGAAGGGTAGTGATGGCAGAAAAAAAAACTACAGCCAATGACTCCCCTTGTCACAATGAAAAGGTATCAAATTATTGGTTTCTATCAAACCTTTAAGGAAAATACACTATCAATTATTAATAGGTGATAGTATCAATAAAAAAATCTTCCAAATTCATTTTAGGAAGCTATCAAAATCTAGATGTCAAAACTTGACAAAATAAACTGAGGACAAACTCTTAAATATAATTCAGTTTTATACACACACACACACACACACACACATTTAATGCAAGCATAGTCATTCATTAGGAATCCAGGAACATAATACTTAACATTAACAGGTCAACAGAGAAAATTATAGGACTAGTCTAATAGATGCCAAAAAACAAATGATTATTACCAAAGTTAAAAAAAATTAATAATAAAGGAGAGACTTGGTCCTAAAATTTCAGGAAAATTATTAAAAGTATCATGGTACTAAAAGCAAGAAAGCTAGAGCATCATTCAGTGGAAAAGATTTTGAATAATTCCTCTAAAATCATACAAATGTAATTAAGCCTGACAAGAAAAAAATCAAAACTAATAAATTGCAGACCAAATTATAAAAGGAAGTTTCTACTGAGGTAACTCTAGAAGATCTCCAAGCTTAAAAACACATATTAAAAAGGAAACATGAAGAAACCATAAACAATGAATTTTGAATCATACAGTTACTAAAACAAAATCTCAGTTGAAATAAACAGATTAGAGCTGAAAAGAAAACTAAAGAACTAGAAGATGACTCAGAGAAAATAAGCCAGAAGGCAGAGAAAAATGAACAGAAAATATGAGAGACATAACAAACAGAATTAGGAAATGCAGAAGGTAAAAGAAAATGGGAGGGATATCTGAAAATAATATGGCTGTAATCTTCCAAAACAGTTGGCAATCAAAAACACTCAAGTGTAGCAAAATGATTCCTTGCCATGATAGATAAAACAAAACCCACAATCACAAAAGTTGAAATAAAAATGCATAACACTTCTTAATGTTAACCAGAGAGAAAAGAAAGATAAGTTAGGCTACTGGCATACTCCTAACAACAGTAAAAAAAACCCCAAAAGATAATGAAATGATTTCAAGGTGCTAAACAAAAATAGCTAACAGCTTAGAAAAAGGAAACTGAATCCAGAATAGTATAAAAGAAAAGCATGACAGGCTGACTAATAGCCCCCAAAATGTCTACATCCTGAAACCCAGACCCTATAAATGTTACCTTATATGACAAAAAGAACTTTGCAAATGTAATTAAGCAGCCTGAATTACGGAGATTATCCTGGATTATCTGGGTGGGCCGTAAATGTAATCACAAGTGTCCTTATAAAAAGGAACTGGAGGAAGACTTTACTACAGAGGATTAAGCAATATAAAGATTTACTAGATCAATCTGAAAATGCTACACTGCTGGCCTTGAAATTGGAAGAAGGGGCCAGAAGTCAAGGAATGCAAGGAATGCAACTCTAATCTAGAAGCTGGAAAAGGCAAGGAAATTGCTCTGAAGGGAGCATATCCTTTCTGACACCTTAGTTTGGCCTAGTGAAACTCATTTCAGATCTGTGACCTCTAGAATTCTTAAGAGAATAAATCTGTGGTAGTGTAAACCACCAAGTTTGTGGCAATTCGCTATAGCAGCCATAGGAAACTAATACTAATGTGGAATTTAGAAACTGATAAACATGATAGTACAAATAAATAAGCACAGACTACATAAAATAACAACAACTAGAATAATGACCAAAACTAATGGGAGAAATGGCTAGCACTAAAGCATTCTAAGACCCATCTATTATTCAAGATGAAGGTTCTAGAATATCTTCTGTTAGATGTCAAAACAACACAGGAGCTAGGTTGAAGGGACTCCTACTGGCCAAATTTGGGAGGTTGTCAGCAAAGAGTAACAACTACATTAACAACAACAGGCTGCATATATTTAAAAAACTAGAACACACTAGCCCATAAAAATAAAGCGCCTGATGAGAGACAATGTATGCATTGTCCTAGTTTCCATGAATAAATTTCAGAAAATCAATACTAAAAAGAAAACTCTAAACATTTCCTATAAAATAACTAGAATTAACATCAGACTTTTCATCAGCGACATTAAAAAGAATGGAGACAGAAGTAGGTTATTTACTGCCTAAGACCAGGGGGTTAGTGGGAATGATTGCTATCTGGGGGGTTCTCTTGGGAGGGATGAAAATGGATTGTGATGATGATTGCACAATTCTATGAGTATATTAAATACCACTGAAGGATCCTGAAAGTCATGGTAAGTAGCCTGGATTTTATTCTAAGTGCAATAAGAATTCAAAATTTCAAAAGCAGAGGGGTGGGTGTGTGTGGGTGAGAGAAAGAGAGAGGGAGAGAGAGAGACCATCTGATTGATATTTTATTATTACTGACAATTATCATCCCATTTTATAGATGAGAATATTGTGGCACAGAGGTGTCAAGTAGTTAGCTCAAAACCACACAGCTGATTAACAGCGAAGTTAGGATTTAATTCTAGACAATGTAAACCCAAAGTAGTATCTATTATAATGCCTCTAAATACCACTCTAGTGGAGAACAGATTACTGGAGGGTAAGAATGGGTGCAGAGGAGACCAGTTGAGACTATGGTTGTAGGCTAAGCAAGAGGTGACTGCCTGGACCAAGGCAGAAGAAGTGGAGATGGAAAAAAATGGGTGAATTCAGGACATATTTTAGAGGTAGAGGAAATAAGACTCACTAATAAATTAGACATGGGAGAAGGGTGTGAGAGAGAAATAAGTATCAAGGCTGACACCAAAATTTTGATGTAACAGGATGGACAGTGATGGCATTTCCTGAAGTGGGGAATCACTAGGGAAAAAAATCAAGCATTATGTCACCAACAAGAGAGGATGATTAAATGATCAAGAAAGCAGCTGGCTATGTAGTTTAGAACTCAGGGAGAGAGATGAGGCAGGAGATACATTTAGGTGTCACAGTACACTAATAAGCAGATCTCCAAGGGGGTGTAGATAAAGAAGACTCAATCCTAGGGCTCACCAATATTCAAAGGATTGGTAAAGAATAGAGTCCACAAAAATGGTTGAGAAGAAACAGGCAATGAGGTAGGAGAAAAATTATTCAGTCAAGATAATTCATTGGATAAGAATAGGAACAAGAAATAGTGGATAGAAGACACCAGGAAGGATGAAATGCATATATCTATACATCTTTGGTCATCATACTCACATACATTTGCATATGTATCAGGGCTGGCAGATAGCAGAGTATGTTTGTAGGCTGACAGGAAAATCCAATACAGAGAAAAACAGATGATGCTAACTGCAAGAAAGAAGCCCTAGAGACAGTAAAAACAGACAGAACCTGAGTCACAAGAAGAGGAATTGTATCTCTGATACAAGTGAAAGGGAAACAGAGAACCTGAAGACCAACACAGATAGGTTTGTAGATACTGTGGCAAGAAGATGACAGCTGCATCTGATTACTCAATAAAGTTTGAGATGAAGTCCACAGATGAGAGTGGGAGCTGTGAGAGGTTTCCAATGAGTGGAAATGCAGTCTAAATAGGGAAAGTGAAGAAAAAGCAGTATTGCCAGACATTGCTGAAGCCCTGTTGAGGTTCATGGCATGCGTTTTGAACAGTACATTCAACTGTGGGAGTACAGGTGGAGAGATGAAGAGCAACTGGTATTTTGTCCCACCCATAAAATGAAAGGGAAGAGGGACGAGGGAGGCAAGGATATTATTAATCCTTATAGTTACTCCTTACTAATATTTTGGTCCTAAAGTCTGTAGATTGTGAAAAAACAGTTTTAAGTGAGAAGGCTTGAGAAGTGCTATAATCAAGGGCCTGACAGGCCTCTGGAAGCTTTTTGAGGTTAAGAAAGAGGCTGAGTATTTAAGAGTCTGTTGATCATGGTTCCCTAATTACTTTGGCCAGTAGAGAGTGAGAAATAAAACCAGGGAAGTGGTATTCATGAAAAGAATAAACAGAAAATACACTGACCTGGACTTAAACTTGGAAATT